AGTCTTTCATTTTTGATTTTGAAACAGTGTCTCTCTGAGTCGCTGAGTTGCCCAGGCTGGAGCTGTGATCTTCCTGCCTCAGCCTCCTTCAGTGCTGGAATGACAGGCCTGTACCGCTGCACCTGGCTTATACTATTTTAAAAACTAGGAAGGCCCATGTTCACAGAAACAGATAAGCTCCAAAGTGAAAGCAACCCAAGTATCCATGATTAATGAGCTAGTATCTTAAATGTGGTTCATTCATGGGGTGGAATATGGTTGAAAAAGAAGGGAATCCTGACACTGCCACAGAGAAGACAGACCTTGAGGCCATGCTGCTCAGGGAACTGAGCCAGACACAAAAGGACAGGCACTTCAGGGTCCCACTCCCAGGATGGCCCTAGCCATCCTCCTGCCTCAGCCTCCTGAGTAGCCAGGATAACAGGTGTGCGCCCCATGCCTGGCCAGACTGCGGTCCCTTACAAGTGTCAGGTGACACCTATGTTCCTATGAGCCTTCTATTACAGAGTCTCAGGAGACCAGGCTGCCTGGCCTGACTGGCCCCATGAGACAAAGGCGTTTGTCTCCCATGGCTACTCTGACAAGGGACTGGCGTGCTGCTCCTCAGTCTCAGCTGGACTGACAGAGGACATTTGCTGGACAGTGAGCAGATTCACCCTGTCTGAGCCGTCCCTTGGCTTCAGCCAATGGCTTGCTCAGCCCCAGGAGCCACAGGACATCTGCGGGACCCTGGGTGGCCTCCCTGTGCCATGACCCTCCTGGAGACCTTGTTGTGGGGCATCGGCCAGCCTTGTGCCCGTCACATGCCAGGGTCAGTACAGGGCAGCTGCCGGTGCCGGGCCAAAAGCAGAAGTTTCCAGCAGTGTGGTGAATCAGCAAGGGGGACCTGGTGAGGGGATGGGAGAGGGACCTAGGCTCTCTGTGTCCCCTGCCCTCCTGGGGATGGCAGCTCGGGCCACTCCTGTGCTCCAAGCACAAATAGACCTCCAAGGCCCCGCCATGGAGTGACAGGATCCTAGAGTCCCTGGGGCCAGGGCCAGCTCTGTCCAGTATCCGGGCGGGGGGGAGCATCCCATGCCTGGCCAAGTCAGGCACCACGACTTTGTTAGCTGTGTTTGTTTTCTACCGGCTGACTCCAGCTTGGAAAGGAGGGCAGTGGCCCCAGAAATATCTAGGAACGTGGCCACGCCCCTGGGGTGGCTGCCAGGGAGGGCACCAGAAGGTCAGCCCATACAGGGTAAACACGCGTGCATACGCGGGCGCTGGGCACACAGTGAGCCGGACACCAGGAGGCGGGCACAGTGACAGGCGGGGGCAGGCCAGGGCCCAGACCCTCAGGGTGCCCGTCCCCATGCAGGGAAATGAGGATGTGACGTTTGCCGCAGCGTGGATCTTGAGAATGTGGTGCTTGGTGAGAGACACTAGACACAGAAGGACACACAGCATGGGCTCTGTGGACAGGAAATGCCCAGGACAGACGAACCTAGAGACAGGAAGTGGCCGCGGGAATGGGTGGGAAGTGGGGAGGGAATGGGTAACGGCTCATGGTGACGGATGGAATGTTCTGGGGTTTTTTGAGACAGGACGTCACTATGCAATGTAGACTGGCCTTGTACTCACTATGTACCCCAGACTGCCCTGAACTCACAACAATCCTCCTGCCTCAGCCTCCCCAGTACTGGAATAACAGGTGTGTGCCACCCACCTGGTTGCTGGAATGTTCTGAAAGTAGACAGAGGTGGCTCTTGAGCACTACTGTGAATGCAGTAAGAAGGGATGAGTTTGTGTCTTGGGTGGACGGGTGGACGAGCACTGTGTGAACTGGACTTCAACAAAGATATTCCACAGCTGGACCCAGTTCAGCAGTCCTGACCTCCTGCTGCCAGTCTGTGACGGAGAAGCAGGCAACACTGCCACTGCCGCCATCCCCCTGTGGGTAAGGGAGTCACAGGGCTCTCTGCTGTGGGAGGGGCAGCAGGGCAGCACGCTGCCGGCTCGAAAGAAAGAATCCTGTGCTGACGGTGACGGTGTGCAGGCTCAAGGGGTAACGCACAGCAGGGAGAAGGAGGGTTTGGTTTTGGTCTTATTTTTGCGGTACTGTAGATTGAACCCAGGGCCTTCCCTCTGAGCCCTGTCCCCATCCCTTTTTACTGTTTGAGACCAGGTCTTGCTGAGTTGCTAAACTGCCCAGCTGGGCTGGACCTTGTGATCCTCCTGCCTCAGCCTCGCAGACTGCTGGGGTGCCAGGTGGGCACCACCGTGCCTGGCTTCATATGCAGAGAGATAAGAGTCTCTGAGCACGTGCCGGGCAACATCTGTATGGGATGCACAGACTCTTGGGGCTCCGTGGTACCCTCTCAACCAGCAGTGATCCTGCCTCAGGGGACACAGGGTGATGTCTGGGGACATTTGTGGCTGTCATGGTGAGAGTAAGGGGTGCTCCTGACATGGCATAGGTAGAAGCCAGGAATGCTGCTTAGCACCCTGAGGTGACTAGGATGCCCACCCCAGAAGATGACCCCAGCTCCAGTGTCCATAGTGCCCAGGGGTGGGGAAGAAGAGATCCTGCTGGAGGAGGAATCATCAAGAATGTTTTGGGAAGTTGGGTACCATGATACACACCTGTCATCCCCACTCCTAGGAGGCTGAGGCAGGAAGTTCTCGAGTTTGAGCCCAGCCTGGGCAAGTTAGCAAGATTCTGTTCCAAAATAAAATACAAAGTTCTGGGGATATAGCTCGGGGATGAATGCCTGTCTAGCATGCATGGAGCCCTGGGTTCTATTGCTAGCCCTCTAGTAATAATAATACAGGAAGAAAAAAAAAAAAGGCAGGTGTGGTGGTGCATGCCTGTAAGCTTAGCACTCAGGAGGCAGAGGCAGGAGGATCTCTAAGAATTCAAGGCCAGCCTGGGCTACATAGTGAGTTCAAGGCCAACCTGGTCTACACAGAGGTCCATCTCAAATAAACAAACAAAGCCGGGTGTGGTGGCGCACACCTGTAATCCCAGCACTCAGGAGGCTGAGGCAGGAGGATCTCTGTGAGTTCGAGACCAGCCTGGGCTACATAGTGAGGTCCAGGTCAGTTTCAACTACATAGTGAGACCCTGTCTCAAAAAACCAGAAAAAAAGTCAAATGCGCAAACAAATCCAGAGATTTAGCTCAGTGGTGTCGCTGCCTGCTTGGTAAGCGCAAGGTCCTGGGTTCCATCCCCGGTATCAAAAAATTAAAAAAAGAAAAAGTAAATAAACACCATGCTGGGAGAAGACATATGGATCATTTCCCATTGCTCCCTGCCGGGTGACTCCTTACACAGCAGTAGCTTACTAATGCAGCCAGCTAGCACAGTCACCTACGGCAGTCATGGAGGCTGTCTATGGGTGACAGGTACACGGCATCTCCATCCAGACGTGGGAAGCCTTCTTGTCGCGCCCATTCTCCTGACCCTAAAGGCAGGACTGTGCCCCTCCTCTCCACGGATGCCTCCCTGCAGGGACACTGGACACTGTGGGAACAGGAGCCTCCAAGGCCTCTGGTGGCTGTGCTGAGAGGCATCAACCTGGCTCCCTTTCCAGAGCCTTGCGCCCCCTAGGGGAGGAGAGCTGCAGTGCAGGGCCCAAACGGCACTGGTGGCCTTGGCTCACCCTACAGGGTCCACAGTACCAGCCGTAGCAGCATCAAAAAGGACCAGATGGTGTCAGAGCTGCACACCATGCCAGCAAGAGCTGTAGCATTGTACATTGAAAGGGACCCCGAGATTGTCACTGTATCCCCACATTTTTCACATGTAAAACAACAAACAAAACAAAATTAAATAAAAAAGAGCCAGTTAAGGTTGCCCAGGCCTTTCTTCACAGCATTCTGGGAGGCTGAGGCAGGAAAGCTGCAAGTTGGAGCCCATTGTGAGCAATTTAACAACTTAGGGTCTCTATTTCAAAAATTAAGAAGGGCTGGGATGAAGCTTAGCAAACACTTGCCTAATGTTCAGATGGTCCTGGGTTCTAGCCCCAGTACCGCAAGAAAAAAAAAAAAGGTTTTAGGGTAAATTTCTCCCATGTCAAGACCCTAGAGCTGGACAGGGCTCTGGTGGAAAACAGTCCGCCCCCTTCTCTCTCAACTTTTTTTTTTTTTAAAGGCAGGGGGTCTCAATATACAGTCCAGGTTGGCCTCGAACTTGTAGTGATCTTCCTGCCTCAGCCTCCTGAGTCCTGGTGCATCTGTAACACGTTCTTTGCACTTGGTTAAATTTTCTTTTCTTTATTTTTGAGACAGGGTCTCACTATGTAGTTGAGACTGATCTGGAACTCACTATGTAGCCCAGGCTGGACTCGAACTCGCAGCGATCCTCCTGCCTCAGCCTCCCAAGTGTTGGGATTTCAGAGTGTTGGGATTACAGGCATGCGCCACCACGCCCGGCTATGCACCTGGTTAAACTTTCTGCTTCCTTTTCTTTTACAAAGCAAACGAGGTCCAGAGTGAAAGCCACATTGGTAGCAGCAGATGGGGACTCAGGCAAAATAAAAATTAGAGCCCATGTGGCCCCAGACAGGTGGTACACATCTGGAAGCTCAGGCAGAAGGATTACTGTGAGTTTGAGACCACCCTGGCCTACACAGCGAGTTCCAGGCCAGCCTGAACTACATAGCAAGATTCTGTCTCAAACAAAACAAAACAAAGAGACCCCCAGGTGGCCCCTCTTTGTACAAGCTGGGGATGGAACCTAGGGCCTTCACCTGAGCTACAGCCCCAACCCCTTTATTTTGACACTGTCACTAAGTCACTCACGTTGAGCTAGAACTTGGCGATCTTCCTGGCTCAGCCTCCCAGGGCTGGGATTACTGCTGTGTACCTCCACGGCCCTCACTGGCCTCGTTCCTAGATGCTTTTGTCCTAACTGCTCCGACTTTGCCCCGCTGCTCCACGAACTTTAGTCACCACCCCTGCACCTCGGAGGTGCCCCCAGCCCCCAGGGGAAGGGCGAACGACAGCCAGCAGCCCTGGTACAAAAACGACAGTTTATTCTCATGTTCGCGTCGGGGTTGGGAGACGGTGTTCTCGAGGCAGCATGGAGCGAGGGCGCTGGGGACGGGGACACCGATGACCGCCCTGCCCTGGGCAGGCCCATAGGTTGCTGGGCCATTGGCATCCAGGAGACACAGCCAGGCCGCTGCATCTGGATTCGAGAGTCCTGGGGCTCCGAGCACAGTCTTGTGGTTTCTAGGGGGACTGACATTGGGTCCCAGAGCTTGGTGCTCAGCGGTGACACTGTTAACTGCACTTGTTCAGCTGCAAGCGCCCCAGGGACCAGAATTCTGCATGGTCAGGCACAGTGTGCGGGGACAAGGGAGGGGAGCCGGGGTCACGGGCCATGGGCAACATCAGTGGGGTGCAGCTAGGGCAGGCATGGCTCCCTCTGGGCTCCGCCCTCACAGACCCCAATGGTCCGGGGGAGATGGGGGTCAGGTCCTGTGGCCCAGCGGGGAGCCACAGAGACGGCGGTTATCTTGTTTGGTTTTGTTTTTGTGGTACTGGAGATGGAACCCAGGCCTCCACACTGAGCTACATCCCTAGCCCCTTTTTCAGAGTGCTGGGATGACAGGCTGGAACCACCAAGCCAGCTTGCACAATGGTTTTTGCCAGAAGGTTTTCAGACACCCAGGGTGGACCAATTCCTGGGCAAGGGTGGAGGAGGGAGTCAGCTACAGGGGAATTCATTCCTGGGCCCCTTGTGATGGAGCGGGAGAGCTGCAGCGAAGGTAGGCTCACCGTTTATGGGCTAAAAAACTTTTTTTTTGAGACAGGGTCTGTCTATGTAGCCCAGGCTGGCCTTGAACTCAGGCGATCCTCCTGCCTCAGCCTCCTGAGTGCTAGAATTACAGGCATAAGCCACTATGACTGGTTTAAAAACATCATTAAGGGACTGGGGATTTAGCTCAGTGTTTTGGCGCCTGCCTTGCAAGCACAAGGACATGAGTTTGATCCCAGTACCAAAATAAAAAAACAAAAACAAAAACAAAAACAAAACAAAAAAAAACAAACCATCATTAAGAACATGTCAAGATGCTTGTAAATGAGGCTGTCTACAAGTGAATCTTTCATACACATGTGAAGGTGACTTCAAGATGTGGTGGGGCAGGATGGTCACACTAAGATCAGCGCCCGAGTTGAGAGACCCCTGACGGGGTGAGCCCAGTGTTCCAGAGCAGCTGAAGGAACTGAGGTGCAAGGGGGAGACAGGCAGGTGATGCGGGCCCCGAGGGTCCAGTAGTACCTCTTTGGCAAGGGCTGGTGGGGCCAGACTGAGGGCTGGGAGCCAGTGGGGCGGGTGTCCTCAGAGGAGGGGACCCCGCGGCCCACAGGCGGTTGGGGGCCCTCACAGACACAGTGGGTTTCCCGGTCACTGAGGACACTTGGTCCCAGAATTCAAGTCCTGCTTCTGCCTGGGCAGATGGGAGGCTGAGGCTCACGGAGGTGACTTGCGGCCAGAGGGAGGAATCCACGGTCCCGGCTTCTGAGGACCCTGTGCAGCCTATTGGAGAGGGACACCAAGTCCTCGTGATACTCAGCTGCAAGACGAAGCCATCAGACGCCCTCCCGTGAGTCTCTGAGGCTGGCCAGGCCTTAGTGACACATCCGAGCAGTCATTTCTTTCTGTTAAGAGTGAACAGGAGGGCCGGGGATTTAGCTCAGTTGTTCTGCTGCCTGCCTCACAAGCACAAGGACCTGAGTTCGATTCTCAGTACCAAAAAAAAGTGAACAGGAAACAGAAACAGACACACTGGAGGCCACATGAGAAACACACATGGGAAGCCAGGCATGCGGAGGCTGAGGCAGGAGGATTGCAGAGAATTTGAGGCCAGCCTGGGCTACACACAGCAAGACTGTCTCAAACACAACAACCACAACAGCAACAAACAGAAAAGCTGCTCCTCACATCCTGTGAGGTGGGGGTGGGGCAGTGGGGACCCCGGTCATGGGCACTGCGAGTCGGGCACTGGTGGGAACTGCCCCGGGAGCTCTGCAGTCACCAGGTCTGTCCTGGAATACAGGGACCACAGCACGGGGCACTGGTGACAGCGCCTGGTGCAACAGGGAACTCAGAGAAATGGTTTCCACCTTCTGGGGGGACGTGGGGAGCAGCAGGGTGGAGATGGCTACTATGAGCACCAGACCCTGAGCAGGGAAGCTGCTCAGGCACCCTGTGCACACTGGGCACCCGCAAAGCCCACCAGAGCAGGAGCAGAGAGCCCCATGGGGACCAGGCCCCGACACCCCTTTAAGTTTTTTTTTCTTGTTTTTAAACTGTACTGAGGGCTGAACCCAGGGCCTTCACACTGAGCTGCATCCCCATTTTTTATTTTGAGACAGGGTCTTGCTAAGTCACTAATTTGCCCAGGCTGGGCTCAAACTTGTGATCCTCCTGCCTCGGCCTCCCAGAGTGCCGGGACGGCAGGTGTACACTTGGGGGCTTCAGAACCTCTTTGAGCTCAGCACCATGCTGGGCAAAGGAACCAGAACCGGGGGCTGCGCTGAGGCGCTCAGTGCATGGGTCGGTCCCTGAGGCTGCTATGAAGAGGCTTCGGGCTCTCCGTCATGCCCACCCCTCCCCGCTCACCAGCGGCTCCAGCTCCTTGGTGTCGATGAGGCCAAACTCGGTGACAAAGTAGTAGAAGTGCTTGTAGCAGGTGTTCACGTGTGCCTCGGAGCCCATCTGCGCGATGCGGTCAAAGTGGTGGATGTAGACATGCACGAAGACGCGGAAGAGGCGTGACATGATCTTGCGCACGGCCTGCAGGAAGTTCTTGGGGAAGGGAGTACCTGGAGAGGGCAGCGGGGGCAGAGGAGTGGGGGATGAGCTGCAGCCCAGGGAGGCCCAAGTCAGCCTCAGGCCCCAAGACGACAAGGTAACAGAGGCGTGCGGCTCGGCCCGCGGAGACTCATACAGGGTCTCCTGTGACGTGCGCACACCGACCCAGGACACGGGTGGGGTATTTCGGGTTTGTTTTGTTCTCCTAAGTTTCCTACACATTGTGTGTGTGTGTGGTCCTGTGGGGCAGGCAGAAATCCCTGGCGACCCCACGATGCAGGACAGGGACCAGAGGGCACACTGAGGGTCCCAGGGTGTACCCCAGGGTGTGGGGAGATGTGACCAGCACTCTGTAAGGTTTCCCCTTACAGCATGGTCTCTCTGTGTAGCCCATGCTGGCCTCAAACTTACGATTTTCCTTCCTGGGATGGATTATGCTGCTGGGATTATAGGCATGTGCCACCATGCCTGGCTGAATGGCACACTTCAAAAGGATGATCGAAGATGGGTGTTGTGGTGCACACCTGTAATCCTAGCACTGGGGAGGCTGAGGCAGGAGGATCGCTGTGAGTTCGAGACCAGCCTGGGCTACACAGTGAGTTCCAGGTCAGTCTCAACTACATAGCGAGACCCTGTCTTAAAACAAAAACAAAAACAATAAATAAAAGGATGTACAAAGGTGGGGACAGGAGCACACACCTCTCACAGCAGCATTCTTGGAAGCTGAGACAGGAGGATCTAGAGTTCAAGCCTAGCCCAGCAACTTAGCAAGACCCTGTTCGCAAAATAGAAAACAAAAAGGGCTGGGATGCAGCTTAATGCAAAAGCTCCAGGTTCAGTTACCAGTACCACAAGGAATAAAGGGTGCGTGTGTGTAAATGATATCTAAAAAAAAAAAACCAAAAAAAAACCACATTATTTGGAAAAACAGGAAGCAGAGCTCAGACTCATTTCATGTGGCCCTTTCTTTCGTGTTGCCATTATTTTTGTTTTTTCAAGAGGGTCTGGCCATGTAGCCCAGGCTGGCCTTGAATTCACAGTGACCCTCCTGCCTCAGCCTCCCGAGGGTGCCTTCCCAGAACAGAAGAGTCCACAGCCCCAGCCCGCCCGTGACTCACCAACGTTGGTGGGGAAGATGTCCTCATTGTTGATCTGCACCTCCACCCAGTCCATGAGCAGGTCCAGGTAGCGCGGGGCGGACAGCGCCGTGGGCTTGCGGAACCGGTGCTCATCCTGCCAGCGGTACTCGTACTTGGGGCCCCCGGACATTACGGGACACGAGTGCTCGGTGCAGCCGTCGCTCACCGTGCCGTAGATGAGGTTGAGGCGGTTGAAGAAGTCCACCACGTGCACGGCCACCCAGTCATTGAGCTCCTCGCCAGGCGGCAGCTGCACAGCCTGTCGCAAGTCCAGCCCTGCGTGCAGTGACGCCTGAGCCCGCTTGTGCAGCTCAAAGCGCTGCGTGCCCGGCTCGAACTTGCGCTTGGGCCGGAAGGTCTTGTCCTTGTTGAAGACCTGTTTCAGGAACGGGCTGGACATCTCGGCCCTGGGGCTGCTCGGACCACTTCCTGGGGGAGGTCAGCCGCCGGCTCTTCTCTGTGCTCTGAAATTCAGAGAGGCACAACTCAGGGCCTGCAGGAGGCTAGAGCCATCCTGCCTTCCCCCTTCCCTCCTGCTGTCCTGCACTGGGGATGGGGCCCAGGGCCTTCACACTGAGCTCCACGCCTGCCCTGAAGGTGGCCTGAAGGGCAGTGGGCTGATGGTGCCCACAGGGGCTGAGGCTCAGTTGGACCCATGGGATCTCTGGGTGGGGCCTAATGTAAACAAAGGTCTTTGAGGGTGTGAGAAGTTACCAGTCTGGGGATGAACTCCCTGGTGGCACTAAATCCAATGGCTAGTGTCCTTCAGACAGACAGAAGCCGGGCGTGGTGGCACACACCTATCAACCCAGCACTCTGGGAGGATGAGGCAGGAGGACTGCAAGTTTGAGCCCAGCTTGGGCAACTGAGAAATTTGGCAAGACCTTGTCTCAAAATGAAAAATAAAAGGGGTTGGGGATTGAGCTTGGTATGAAGCCCCTAACTTCAATTCACAGTACTAATAAAATATTAGAAAAAATTTTAGGACATAGAAAGAAAAAAAAAAAAAAAAAAGACAAAAGAACAGCTGTCCTTGGAAGAGTCCTGAGGAAGCCGGGCATGGTGGTGCATGCCTGTAATCACAGCACTCGGGAGGCTGAGGCAGGCTGAGGCAGGAGGATCGCCGTGAGTTCGAGACCAGCCTGGGCTACATAGTGAGTTCCAGGTCAGTCTCAACTACATAGTGAGACCCTGTCTCAAAAAAATAAATAAATAAAATTAAAAAAAAAAATAAAATAAAAAAGAGGCAGATATGACTGAGAGGCAGATGGCCACATGAAGAGAGCCACTCAAATACTGGAACAAGGTGGCCAGAAGTCAAGAAACAAACAAAAGAGAGAGAGAGAAAAAAAAAAAAAGAACCAGGATCATGGCCACCTGCAGATGCTGGGGACAGATTCTTCCCATGGCCTCAGAAGGAGCCAGCCCCCGCCCACATCTTGATCTAGGGCTTCCAGAACTCGCAGTCAAACATGTCTGCCCTTTCTGGACTCTGCTCTGTGTGACTGTGTCTCCAATCCCAGTCACTGGACAAGATGTGTGAGACTGAGGTACGGCCTATTCGCCTTAATTTAATCACGCTTCCAGCTGGGCACATGCCTGTCATCTCATCACCTGGGAGCCCGAGGCAGGAGGATCTCCATGATTTTAAGGGCAGCCGAGACTACATAGCAAGACTGCCTTAAAAAAAGCAACAAAGAGGGGCTGGGGATTTAGCTCAGTGGTTCTGGCAGTGCCTGTCTGGCAAGCACAAGGACCTGAGTTCGATCCCTAGTACCAAAAAAAGGAACAAAAGTAAAGCAAAATAAAAAGGACTGGGGATATAGCTCAGTGCAAAGGCTCTGGGTTCAATCCCCAGCACAAAAAGAGAAAGAGAGAGAGGGAGAGAGAGAGAGAAAAGAAAAAAGAGCAAGCCTGAGTCCTGTCAGCTGTCAGTGTCTGATGGTGGCCGTACCAGGACAAATGATGGTGCAACTAGCACTTAGCCATTTCACCCTGGCGTCTGTGCTTGAACCCCTGCCTGCCCCTGGTCCAGCAGGACAGACTCTGTCCCAGCGGCGTGAGATGAGACACCTTGTGTGCTGTGTGTCTGCCCCACCAGGAACGCCCCTGGATCACCACTGTCATTTCTGTTACCACTGATACTGGCGCTTACCAGTGTGGACCTGGTTGTGACCTATGGGGCCTTGCGGTGGGTTAGGGACACCGATCAGACTCCTCCCTGGGGACACAGGGAGAGGAAGCAGCAGAAACAGGAAACGGCAGACATGGGGGGGGCACTGCTGTCCTGGGTCCCAGACATGCTCCCTGCTTAGAATAAACAGCCACTTAGAATACCACAATAAATACTATCATAAAGCCCCAGCACGTATGTTTCTGTTTTTGTTTAAACTGGTGGAGTTGGGCTAGGGATTTAGCTCAGTGGTTCCACTGCCTGTCTCACAAGCACAAGGACCCAGGTTCGATCCCCAGTACAAAAAAAATCAATCAATTGATCGATCGATCGAAGGAATCGGTTTCTTTCCTTCCTGACCAACGGACCTGAGAACCTGATCTTGCGGCCTGTCCCCTGGGACCCTGTACCGGTGCCATGTGTCTCCTGTGGCTGCTGCAACAAAACACCAAAACTGGTGATTTAGGACCACACCTAGTGTGGCTACTCAGGAAGCTGAGGCGGGAGGGTCATAAGTTGGAGCCCCGACTGGGCAATTTAGCAAGACCCTGTTTTGAAATAAAAAATGAGTTGGTGACACAGCTCAGTGCAAAGGCCCCGGGCTCCCTCCCCAGTATTACAAAAAGGGGAGGAGGCAGCAGAGGATGAGAGGCAGAGAGAGGCTGAAGAGTCTCTAGGAGCCTGCAGGACTGGTTCTCTTTCTCTGGAGCCTCCTGCCCTGGGGACTGAGAGACTGAATCTGTGTGGATCTGTCACTGCGTCAACAGGAAGCCCCCTGGAGCAGCAGCCCCAGTCCTGGTGACACTCACGGTGCCCTGCAGGGCAGTCACGTTGCTGGTGCCTGCACAGAAGTCACCCATGTTGCTTTAGGGCTTTCTGTGTTGGGACAGGGACTGAGGGCAGCAAGTGTTAGGGAGGAGCTAAGGCCACAGGAGTGGCCGCAGGGCCTGGGGCGGGGGAAAGGGGATGAAGCAACTTCACAGTGGTTGGCAAATCAGCTGTGAAGTCCTCCAGGTAGTGCATGCCTGTCACCTAGCCTCGGGAGGTGGCGCAGGAGGGAGACCTCGCAAACAGTGGGCAGATATGTGACAGGTGCAGCCCCCAAGGAAAGGCGGCTGGCCCCCAAAAGGTTGAACAAAGTCACCATGCGGCCCAGCAGCCCTCCTCCCAGGGGTTAGAGCACATCACAAAAGCAGGTCCGCCCGGGGCACCGGTACAGCCAGTCAGGAGGTAGAACGGAGCCCCAGGTGTCCTGGAGCCAGCCTGGGCCCTGCTGCATCAGCACTTCCTGTCATCTGGCTTTGACAGGTTCTTCACAGCTTCCTGGGAAAGACGCCGACGGCTCCCTTGGTACGGGGACACCGGCTGTGGCACCCTGGGCACTGCAGGGTGCTGAGCCTCCACCCACTCCAGACCAGGAGCTACAGCAGTGTGACAGCCACACAGCCCCCAGACAAAGCTTGGTGTCCCCGGGGAAGCATCTGTGGGGAAACCCCCCAGGGTCAGAAGGTGACAGCTCGATGCGTCACATCTGAAACCACACAGCTGTGAGGCAGATGGTGGCCAGATCGCGCAGGTCATGTACCCCCAGACACCCCAACTCCGAGGTCCCACCCTGAAGCTCGCAGGTCCCCTCCAGTGCTGGCTGCGTGGCTGAGGCCCCGCTAGCTTCCCTGTACCTCAGAAGGGCCAGCCCCGAGCACCCTGGCCACCCTCCTGGTCTTGGGAACAGATCCAGGGCTGTGTGGCCAGGGACCCACACATCACAGCTCAGTGGGTCAGGGGACTGTGACCGTCTACTACCTGAGACTGACTCCGTGACAACTGCCTTTGGCCACTCGGTGCCATGTATGCAGGGACAGACAGGGTTTTGTATACTGGGTACCCTGTACAGAGTTCCCTCCTAGTTCCCAAACACCATCCCAGTGGGATAGGCCACAGCCTCAGCTTTCCCGGGGTTGGGGGGGACAACATGAGGCTGATGTCAGCTGCCCCAGCCACTCGGTGCAGCAGAGCTGGCCACCCCCCCTGGCTTCCACCTTCTTGTTCCTATTTTTGTTTTTTGTGGGTTGTTTTTCTTTTGTTTTGTTTTGTTTTTACAGTCCCAGGGACTGAACCAGAGCCTTCACAATAAGCTACACCTCCAGCCTTTAAAAAAAATATTTTTTCTTCTGGTACCAAGAGTCAAACTCAGGGCTTCACGCTTGCCAGGCAGGTACTGTGCTGCTGAGCTACATTCCCTGCCTCCGCTTTTGTTTTTTTTTTTTTTTTTTTGGTTTTTGAGACAGAGTCTCACTATGTAGTGGAGACTGACCTGGAACTCACTATGTAGCCCAGGCTGGTCTCAACTCCCAGCGATCCTCCTGCGTCAGCCTCCCGAGTGCTGGGATTACAGGCGTGTGCCACCACGCCCAGCTCCACTTTTTAATTTTTACATTATTTTGAAACAAAGTCTTGCTAAGTTGCTCAGGTTGGGCTCCAACTTGCAATACTTTTGCCTCAGAGTGCTGGGGTGACCTGTGTGCGCCACCACACCCGGCTCCCCTTCCTGCTTCATCTCTGGTTCCTCATTTATCATGTACAAACTTTCCAAAGCTCATGGAAACCACAGCACAAAGAACTGAATCCACCACCCTGTGGTGGCCCTGTTTCTTTCAGGGCCTTTCCAGTGACAGTTCTGGGGGTTCCCTCCAATGATATTACCTGGACAGGGCAGGCAGGAGTGGGACCCCTCACCCCCCCCACTCCAGCAGCAACCCAGTGAGCCTCGGCCCGACCAGGCCAGCACCTATCTCTAGGGCCCATCTTTCTCTACAACCCTGCATGCCTGGCTACAGACTCTCACCCAGGCTGTTCTAGAAAACGTGGTAGCAGAGAGGTGGCAGAGTCCCTACCTATACTTCTGTCTCCTCTCAGGAAGTAGGAGAGCTGCGGGCTGGGGATTTAGCTCAGCGGTTCGGTGGCCTGCCTCGCAAGCACAAGGACACGAGTTCAATCCCCGGTACCAAAAAAAAAAAAAAAACACGTAGGAGAGCTGCACACCTGTCGTCCCAGGACTTTAGTAAGCTGAGGTAGCAGGGTCTCAGGTTTGAGTCCAACCCAGGCAATGTAATGACTTGGCAAGATGCTACCTCAAAATAAAAAACTAAGAAAGGGCTCCAGATGTGGCTTAGTGCAAAGGCCCTAGGTTCAAGCCCCACTCAAAAGCAGAGAAAAGTTGGGAAAAAAATTTTTAAGGTGAAAGTAATTATGTTCTAGAAACTTCTATGGATAGGCAGACTCCTGATCAAA